TAAAGAAGGGGTGCCTGGGTGGCTCAGTTGGGCATCCGACTTCGGCTCAGGTCATGATCTCACCTCGTGAGTTCGAGCCCCGCATCAGGCTCTGTGCTGACAGCTCAGAGCCTGGAGCCTTCTTCAGGTTCTGTCTCCATCTCTGTCTGCCCCTCCCTCACTTACACTCTAATTTTCTCTCTCTCTCAAATATAAATAAACATTAAAGAAAAAAATTTTAAAGATGTATATATGTATCATTAAATACATAATTATATCTATAATTATATATATATATATATAATGGAATATTATCCATCAAAAAGAATGAATTGCAACAATGTGAATGGAACCAGAGTATACTATGCGAAGAAATGTCAGTCAGAGAAAGACAAATACCATATGATTTCACTCATATGTGGAATTTAAGAAAAAATGAGGTGAACATATGAACATAGGGGAAAGGAAGGAAAAATAAAAAATAAGATAAAAACAGTGAGGGAGGTAGGCCATAAGAGACTTAATAATAGAGAACAAATTGAGGGTTGATGTAGGGAGTTGGGGGGATGGGTTAAATGGGTGATGAGCATTAAGTAAAGCACGTGCTGGGATGAGCACTGGGTGTTACATGTAAGTGATGAATCATTAAATTCTACTCCTGAAACCAACACTACACTGTCAGTTAAGGAACTTGAATTTAAATTTTAAAAAATGAAAAAAAATTCATTTCCAATGGAATAAAAATCGCATTCTCCCATTATATCATTGATTTATTTAACTTGGTCATAGCAATGAGGTTTCTAAAAGTCTTTATGCATTAATTGAAGGTATTAGATAATTAAAGTGCTGATAGCTTCTAAGGCTATGTTACAAAAGTGGATGTGTATCTACTTTGATGCTTTCTCTTTTTTTTTCTTCAATATATGAAGTTTATTGTCAAATTGGTTTCCATACAACACCCAATGCTCAGCCCAAAAGGTGCCTTCCTCAATACCCATCACTCACCCTCCCCTCCCTCCCACCCCCCATCAACCCTCAGTTTGTTCTCAGTTTTTAAGAGTCTCTTATGCTTCCACTCTAACCTCTTTTTTTTTCCTTCCCCTACCCCATGGGTTTCTGTTAAGTTTCTCAGGATCCACATAAGAGTGAAACCATATGGTATCTGTCTTTCTCTGTATGGCTTATTTCACTTAGCATCACACTCTCCAGTTCCATCCATGTTGCTACAAAGGGCCATATTTCATTCTTTCTTATTGCCACATAGTACTCCATTGTGTATATAAACCACAATTTTTTTTTATCCATTCATCAGTTGATGGACATTTAGGCTCTTTCCATAATTTGGCTATTGTTGAGAGTGTTGCTATAAGCATTGGGGTACAAGTGCCCCTATGCATCAGTACTCCTGTATCCCTTGGGTAAATTCCTAGCAGTGGTATTGCTGGGTCATTGGGTAGGTCTATTTTTAATTTTTTGAGGAACCTCCACACTGTTTTCCAGAGTGGCTGCACCAATTTGCGTTCCCACCAACAGTGCAAGAGAGTTCCCGTTTCTCCACATCCTCTCCAGCATCTATAGTCTCCTGATTTGTTCATTTTGGCCACTCTGACTGGCGTGAGGTGATATCTGGGTGTGGTTTTGATTTGTATTTCCCTGATGAGGAGCGACGTTGAGCATCTTTTCATGTGCCTGTTGGCCATCTGGATGTCTTCTTTAGAGAAGTGTCTATTCATGTTTTCTGCCCATTTCTTCACTGGGTTATTTGTTTTTCGGGTGTGGAGTTTGGTGAGCTCTTTATAGATTTTGGATACTAGCCCTTTGTCCGATATGTCATTTGCAAAGATCTTTTCCCA